TAATCAGCCCAGCACTTTCGCTTATGCGGTCCCCATCCCGCTTCTGCGGGACCGCTTCCGCGCTATTCCTTCCGCTTCTGCGGAAATCCCACTCTCGAACCAAACCGCTTCTGCGGTCACAACATCGCATAAGCGATTCCGCTTTTGCGGCTACGCCAACGCTTCTGCGGAACCAGGCGCCCAGGCCTCTTCACCGCTTCTGCGGTCAACCCATCGCTTAAGCGGGTCCGCTTCTGCGGTCCAAGACTCGCAGAAGTGAGAATACCAGATATCAGCAACATTTGAAGTCTCCAAGTCCAAATTTCATCCCGCTAACCATCCGAAATCACCCCGAGGCCCCCGGGACCTCAGCCAAAGGCACCAACATATCCCAATACATCATACGAACTTGCTCCAATCATCAAAACACACCTAACAACACTAAAATCATCAATTCACATCGGATTCAAGCCTAAGTTCTTTAAGAACTTCCGAAATGCACTTTCGATCAAAAACCCGACCAAACGATGTCCGAATGACCTGAAAATTTGCACACATATCCAAAATCACTTAACGAAGCTACAGCAACTCNGGACTCGCTGAAGCGCCTACACGTCCGCTTATGCGGAAAAATCCCTGGGCCACACCTGCCCGCTTCTGCGATCTCTCCGCCGCATCTGCGAAACCGCTTCTGCGGCTCCTTTTCCGCAGATGCGGAAATACCAGAAGACAGAAAAATCTGACCTGCAACAAATGCTTCCAACTCCCGTTTAACCATCCGAAATCACCCTGAGGCCCCCGGGACCTCAACCAAAAGCACCAACACATCCTATAACCTTATTTAAACTTGTTCCAATCCTCAAAACACGTCAAACAAATGCTAAAACCATTAAAATACATCGGATTCAAGCCTAGTTTTCATCAAAACTTCCGAAATGCGCATTCAATCAAAAACCCGACCAAACAACATCCAAATGACCTGAAAATTTGCAGACATATCCAAAATCACCTAAAGAAACTACTGCAACTCTCGGAATTCCATTCCGACCCTCGGATCAAAGTCTCACCTATCAACCGGAATTCGCCAAAATTCAAACTTCGCCAATTCAAGCCTAATTCTACGCCGGACCTCCAAATTCAATTCCGATCACTTTCCTAAGTCACAAATCATCAGCCGAAGCTAACCGAATCACCGGAAATCACATCCGAGCCCTCTAACTCAATAGTCAACATCCGGTTGGCTTTTCCAAAACAGGCCTTCCTTAAAGAGACTAAGTGCCTCATTTTCTTATCAAAACCAATCCAAAACAACTCTAACACACCACATACCGATAACGAAACATGAAGAAGCATGAAATGGGGAAAGCGGAGCGATAACACATGAGACGACGGGTCAGGTCGTCACAAAATCTTATTTAAAAAGCATAAAACATAAAGATTAGGCAGGCTCCCACTCTGGCAAGAACGGACTAAGAGGGTTAGCTACCCAGCAAACTTTCATAATTAAATACCGTTACTGTATAGGTAGATCTGATTGTGAAAGACCTATTACTGGATAATTCATGGGTAGAGCCAAAGAGTGTGAACTATACAAGTTCCCAATAACATCAATTAGTTGATTAAATATTAAATTAAAGTATAAAGTAAAGGCTCCGGTGTATAGAGAAGACCTCACCGTTTAAGAAGTAACCATAGAAACGAAGGAACCCACTATTTATTTTTTGATTTCTTTTATTTACTAGATTTTTGATACCTAGGAAAATACAATTTTTTATTTCTTTCTTATTTCGCAGTGAAATACCTAAAAAAAAAAAAGAAAAAATCGTGGTCGGGAAGGTTAGAGTAGCCAAAGCCATTGGAATTTTTATTTTATACATTGGAAAAATCCGTTTTGTTATTAATAGACTAGGAAGGGGGAAAAGAATAACTGAAAGAAAGGCAATCGATTAGTTATTCGTCAAAGTTTCATTTATTCAATGACCAGAATTAAACGGGGATATATAGCTCGGAGACGTAGAACAAAAATTCGTTTATTTGCATCAAGCTTTCGAGGGGCTCATTCAAGGCTTACTCGAACAATTACTCAACAGAAAATAAGAGCTTTAGTTTCGGCTCATCGGGATAGGGATAGGAAAAAGAGAGATTTTCGTCGTTTGTGGATCACTCGGATAAACGCAGTAATTCGCGAAAGGGGAGTATCCTATAGTTATAGTAGATTAATACACGATCTGTACAAGAGACAGTTGCTTCTTAACCGTAAAATACTTGCACAAATAGCTATATCAAATAGGAATTGTCTTTATATGATTTCGAACGAAATCATAAAGGAAGTAGATTGGAAAGAGTCCACCAGAATAATTTAAATGGAGTTCCCCGGAGAATGAACTCCGGGAAGGTAGAGTAGAAATTAGTATGAGAAAATATGCTAAAGTAGTCAAAATGAATGAACACGTTCAATTCAATAAAAAAAGAAATCTTTTTTTCCGATTCATTTTTTTTTCTTACGACACGATACTCAAATCTAGATTCTTGTAATTATGATTCAAGTGAAGAAAAAGTAAGCCTATTTATTTCGGGCTTTAAAACCAGTAGTTCTAGCGGTCGACTCGGTTCTTTCAAATTGTTTCTCATTATTGAGAAAGGGTAACAAAGATAAAATACGAGCTTGTTTTATAGCAAGAGTAATTAATCGTTGTTGTTTCAAGGTCAATNATCTTCCTCGTCGTCATCATCCATCTAAAAAACCCCAAATCACCAAAGCAAACAACATGAAAAAAAATTAATCAAATTGAGTAGCAGAAGGAGCAAGATCCCCTGTTACATAGTTGAATTGGACCCGAAAGAAGGTAGGGTCAGCTACCCAGCAAACTTTCATAATTAAATACCGTTACTGTATAGGTAGATCTGATTGTGAAAGACCTATTACTGGATAATTCATGGGTAGAGCCAAAGAGTGTGAACTATACAAGTTCCCAATAACATCAATTAGTTGATTAAATATTAAATTAAAGTATAAAGTAAAGGCTCCGGTGTATAGAGAAGACCTCACCGTTTAAGAAGTAACCATAGAAACGAAGGAACCCACTATTTATTTTTTGATTTCTTTTATTTACTAGATTTTTGATACCTAGGAAAATACAATTTTTTATTTCTTTCTTATTTCGCAGTGAAATACCTAAAAAAAAAAAAGAAAAAATCGTGGTCGGGAAGGTTAGAGTAGCCAAAGCCATTGGAATTTTTATTTTATACATTGGAAAAATCCGTTTTGTTATTAATAGACTAGGAAGGGGGGAAAGAATAACTGAAAGAAAGGAAATCGATTAGTTATTCGTCAAAGTTTCATTTATTCAATGACCAGAATTAAACGGAGATATATAGCTCGGAGACGTAGAACAAAAATTCGTTTATTTGCATCAAGCTTTCGAGGGGCTCATTCAAGGCTTACTCGAACAATTACTCAACAGAAAATAAGAGCTTTAGTTTCGGCTCATCGGGATAGGGATAGGAAAAAGAGAGATTTGATCAATCCTATTTTCTGTCGTTAAGGTGGAGAACTGAACCAAGAATTCTCTTTCTTCATCATCAATCGAATCACTGTTCGCGACCCAGGATTCTATTTTATCATCAATCTAATCCCCGTTCACGTTTTTTCTTTTTCTTATCAATGAATATATCTCTTTACTTGTATGACTTAGATGTCTCGTATTTCTCGAAAAAGTGATTCGATTGATGGGATTTGGTATGAGATCGATGATCTCGATGAGATTGATATTCCAATCTTTCTTCTTAGAACGTATTGATTTGACCCCATAAGCGGGACCAAGCATGTTGCCGCCAGAAGCAGAACCCCGTATTTCTTCTAGAGAATCTCCTAATTGTTCCAAAGCAACTAGAAAGAGATTCTTTAACCAGAAAGAATTCGGTTCAGATGTAGGATACCTATCCAGAAGTTTTCGCAACTCAATCATAGATGATGGAATCATCAAAAGATTCTTCTCCCTAAGTAGCATTCTTGTAAGTACAGAAGGAATTCTAATGTCTCTGAAAAGATAAAGCTAAAAGCAATCTCTGGTATAGATATTGATATTGACCCGCCTCTATGGGAGGTGGGTGGGGATCAAGAGAAGCAAGGCCGGGCACATCATACTCTTCAGGGATTGTGTCATGTCAATTTTCGTAGTGAATTTCTTACGTATCCACCCTGAAAGCGAGAGCTCGAGGCTGTGGGAAAGGAGAATCAACAAGATAGGATGCTCTGTCCCAACTAACAAGAGTAGGAAGATTCCAGCTTTGAATCTTGTGCTTGACGGTGATCATTTCTGCCACGTCGTAACAGTCTTTAGTGCTTTCTGTTTCAATGGTTTGGAACCCTTCTTACTTTCTTTATTATATCGGGGAATTTTTTCTCTTGGTCCGCTAACTCCATAAAGGGCTGGTGGGTGGGGGTAGAGCCTCTAGCGCCAATGTCGATGAATCAAAGGTGTCTGTTTATGGTATGGAATAGGAAGAGCAAGAATGGAACCGCTATCGCTTGTCCTATCATCCGCGATGAGCTTCTTTCATTCGTCAGTATGGGGTAGGTAGAGTCCTTTGCTCGTATGCTTGGCATTACAATAGTCGCACCAGTCTTCCTTCCTTTTTAGTGCACATGAAACAGAAAACCTAATAGAGACTACCCACACGGTGATCAAAACTCTTCATTCTCTGCTTCACTGTCAATTGATTGGCGCATGAACGAAGCTGTAACGGAGCATGTACGCGACAATCAAACATGGCTTTGCCAGCTGCCTGTGATATCAGATAGTTCGTGCGGGGCATTTCCCACCTCGCCTTTGATCTTTCCCTTGCCGTGTAGGTAAAGCTAGAAGAGCCTCATTGGCCCGACAGCTGACAAGCAAACCTTCCATTCTTATGTTTACATCACTTCTCTCTTTCTCGTATTGACCGGACAAAGGTTTCAAATGAGCATCCCATGGGGCAGCCATAGCTTGAACCTTCCTTCTCGCAGTCAGCTATATAACTCAGGCAGCAAAGGTTCGAGCAGGATGGCGGTTAGTCTTCCTCTTCTCTTTCGGGTGGGCGGCGGGAATAGCTCTTCTAGCATCAGCATGGATTGACCAAAGACTGGGAGTAGTCATCATCTCTTTCCATAGTAGTCATCCAGCAAGAAAGGGAAAGACCACTTAGCGCAGTGGAATAGGAAAGAGAGCGTCGAGCACAACTTTCGTGTCACCAGAAATCCTTTTTCGTTTATTGGGAGACTGAATGAAAAAGGCTTTGTCAAGCAGGCATGATTTTCACGTCGATCGACAGTTGAGAAATACTATCTCCGGGGCCCTCACTTTAGGGCTATCTTTCACCGTTGACAGACATGGTTCAACGTGCCAGCTACGCTTCCTCTTCTAGAACAGTGATAGCCTAGTCTGATTCCCCCTTCCGAAAGTGCCACAGCTCCTTCTATCACAACCCCTGAAAACTGGGCATTCGAAGCATCAATCTCATTCTATGCTCTATGCCATCTTCCTTATACTTTGACTATTAATTCATGTGCACAAACCTCCCTCACAAAGGAAAGCGGGAAAGTCATCTTTGCAAACAAAGGCCTTCTTCTTATACTATGGCATCTTGTCCAAAGCGAGCGGTCATGTAAACCCTTTGTCTATTCGGCTCTTTCCTTTAATAAGAACAATCTAAATGTGACACTTTCACGACGAAATAACGGGAATTTTTAATACTAGAGTCCCCCAGGAAATTAAGCCAATGATCGACTGTCCCTGCCTATTCTAGCGGGGCATTCTATTCCTTTAAGTCCCACAGCTCTAAATGTGCCTATTCCTTCGACACCTTTCCATGGAAACAGGGGAAAAATGGCTCATTCCGCATCAACCTAAGCCCGCTTATTCCGACTAAGTGATCCATTTGCGAAAAGAGGGCCTTCCTCCTTCTTGCTTGAAGCTCTGTCAAAGAAGCATTCTATTCCGAAAAGGCTTAGGGCTAGGCTAAACCTCCCTCAAAGCCATGAAGTCCCAGAGCTCTTATTCCAAGAACTGGTGATATTCCCTTAACTGCAGATTCAATAGCACCGGTTATGAACCCCAAAAACAACAGGAAAGAGAGCACCGTCTACTCAGACTGTCACACCGGCAACGA